TATAATTTTATGCCTGATAAACTTAATAGTTAAAAAAGTCTGAAAGCCAGGCTCCAATGGCTCATGCCTATAATCCTAGTTACTCAGGAGGCTGAGATTTGATGATATTAAAGCCAGCCCAAGCAGAAAAGTCTGAGAGACTCTTATCTTCAATTAAGTACAAAAGAGCCAGAGTAGAGCTGTGGCTCAAATGGTAGAGCACTATCCTTGAACAAAAAATATCAGATAGTGCCCAGCCCCTGAGTTTAAATGTCAGGACCAGCACACACACACACACACACATACACACACACACACACACACACACACACACACACACACACACACACACACCTCTGAGCTATGGTAGTCCTATCTTGAATTCTACCTTTCTCTGATGTCACTCTACATGTGACTACAAAGGTCTTGCCTTTGTAGGTGTTTGAGACACACTTAAGTAGAAGATCATGGATTCTATGTTCCTCTCCCAATGACCTAGTTCCTAGTCACACTAGGCTGACCTGATTCTATTTTTGTCTTTGGTTCTCAGATCTGATAGCCTCCATTATAGAAGGATGGAAAGCAGTCCCTCACCCTGGAAGCATAGCATACCCTGACAGGATTCACTGAGGGAAGTGAGGAAGAGAAAGCAGGCCTGAAAGAAAAGGCCAATCAATCACTTTGCCTGGTCTTTCTTGACAAATAGTCTGCCCTTAGATTCACCTTATAACTTTGCCTCAGGCAAAGAGTAAAAGGGGTAATTTGAAGGTCTTGTTAAAAAAAAAGTCTTATAGCTACTAAAGACAAAAGATGAAGTCAAGGAAGTGTAGCACCACTCATTAACCTGGAAGACTCCACAGTGTCCTCTGAGTTTAAGGTAGGGATTCAAATCCACATGGGAGATTCAAACAAAAACTCAGTGCACGTTAACTCTAACATAGCATTTGGTCAAAAACAGGCTACACATACAACAGAGGGCCCATAAGATTACAATGGAGGTGGAAAGTTCCTACCACCTAGGATATGCAGCCCCAGCAGTTACAACATCATAGCTCAAGGCAACGTTCGTGTGTTTATGGTACTGCTGGTATAAACAAACCTGCTGTGCTGCCAGACACATAAAAAGAGAGCTCATACCATGTCCAGCACATGACACTTGATAACAATAATAAACAATTCTATTACTCATGCATTTGTAGTTTTCTTTCCTTCCTTTCCTTCCTTTTTCTTTTCTGTGTGTCTGTGTGTGTGTCTGTTATTGGGACTTCAATTCAGGGCCTGAGCTCTGTCCCTGAGTTTTTGTAATCAAGCTTGGTACTTTGCCATTTGAGCTACTCCTGCTTTTAGCTTTTTCCTGGTTAACTAGACATAAGAGTCTCTTGGATTTGTCTTCCTGGGTTAGCTTCAAATTGTGGTCCTCAGAGCTCATCCTCCTAAGTAGTTAGGATTACAGACATTAGCTATCAGTCTCTGCCTGTCATTCACTTCTTTTCTTTCTTTCTTTTTTTGTCGGTCATGGGGCTTGAACTCTGGGCCTGGGCTCTGTCCCTCAGCTCTTCAGCTCAAGGCTAGTGTTCTACCACTTGAGCCACAGCACAATTTCCAGTTTTCTGGTGTTTAACTAGAGATAAGAGTCTCATGGATTTTCCTGCCAGGCTGGCTTTGAACCATGATCCCCAGATCTCAGCCTCCTGAGTAGCTAGGATTACAGGTGTGAGCCACCAGCAACCGGTTTTTTTAAGGGTTAATTTTTGTTTGTTTGTTTGTTTTAAACTGTATTTTTTTGTATTTTCTTTTTGGTACTGAGTATCAAACCCAGGACATTGTACTTGCCAGGCAAGCACTTTGCCACTGAGCTACATCTCAGCCCTCACTTCTTTTCTACACTGTATGATTCACCATTATTTTAAACTACATTTCTACTTGTTTTGCTTACAATGTGAACTATAAAGATTGCTTGAGCAGGGCAGACTACTTATCATAGGAGGCAACCATTTCTTGTAGGTTTTCACCATTAGGGAACTTAGAGTAGGACAAAATGGAAAAGGGAAAGATCATGACATTCATAGGCCTAGGACAATGTGAGTGTTGTGTCTCAGTTTAACAACAGCAACAAAAAGCCTTAAGCAGAGGAAAGAAGGAAGGAAGGAAGGAAGGAAGGAAGGAAGGAAGGAAGGAAGGAAGGAAGGAAGGAAGGAAGGAAGGAAGGAAGGAAGAGAAGGAGGAAAGAAGAGAGGGAGGAAGGAAGGGAAGAGGAAGGGAAGAGGGAAGGAAGGAAGGAAGGAGGTAAGGAAGGAAGGAGGGAAGAGTAAAGGAAGAAGAGAATGAAGAAAGGAGGGAGGGAAGGAAGGAGGGAAGAAAGGAGGGAAGGGAGGAAAGAAGGAGGGAAGGGAGGAAGGAAGGAGGGAAAAACTTAAGACTAGTTTAAGACTAGTGCCACATAGTGTAGATGCATAGTTGACCATACCAACTCCCTTTGTATAGGTACACTCTATCATGTTCATAACAGCAAAGTATAATGATGTCTTTTCAGCACTAATTCCTGCCATTGGGTGATGCATGGCTATACTATTGACTATAACTGGTAAATATATCTTCTTTAATTGACTAAGTGGCATGGAATAAGTGAAGAGCTTAGTCTATGTATCCCATTCTGGGCTCAACTTGTGTCAGCAGAAAATGGATTTTCCCTGAAGGAGGTAAACCTAATCTCCACCTTGGAGGGTTATTATGAGGATGGAATGAGGTAATGCATGTAGGAAAGCCCTGCTCTGAGTGCCTGATATACCACACTGCTAGCTCCCAAGAAGGGAACCGTCATTATAAAGGTGATTTTTTTTTTTTGTTTACAAAAACAGTAACAGATGTAATATAGGTCAAGGTCTTCCAGTGCATCCTTTTGCACAGTGTGCTCTTCCTGTTGGAAGACTGAATGAAGGAGGGCTGACCAGTCCTGTATACCTGACTAGAAAGAGGAGAACAGTGATATCCATTACAATAATGGACACTCCCTATAGCCTAGGGTCTCTAGCAGACACTTCTTTCCTGCTTAAAACCAACCTGGTCTGCCTTTTACTTGGAATCATTCCTTTACCTCAGTTTCAGTGTTCCTCTTTCCTCAAGGAGATAATAGATGTCACAGAATTGTTCCCAGGGTTTAAATGAGTTAAATGAAAAATATTCCAATCTGGGTCAAGTTCTAAGAAAGCATTCTGTGACTATTCAAAAAACACCACTTGATTTTCCTTCTTTCTTTCTTTTTTGTTCTGGTCTGCTTTCTCTCCTCCTTAGGCTGGGGGCTAGCTAAGGAACCAATCCTTGTTCTTTTTTTTTTTTCTTTCCTTCTTTCTTTCTTCCTTCCTTTCTTTCTTTCTTTCTTTCTTTCTTTCTTTCTTTCTTTCTTTCTTTCTTTCTTTCTTTTTCTTTCTTTCTTTCTCTCTCTCTTTCTTTCTTTTCTTTCTTTCTTTCTTTCTTCCTTCCTTCCTTCTTTCCTTTCTTTCTTTCTCTTCAATATGTGTTTTCACTCCCCCAGCAAGCACGCCCAGCTTCATGATTTCACATACCAGGCTGAGGACTGCTTTCTCAATTTCAAGCTCTTCATATCTACCCATTTAGCATTTCCACTTGCAGGGCTCACAGACAGGACTCACCCAGGAGATCAATAACTGAACTACTAACTTTCTTTCCTCTGTCTGCTCCACACACAAATCCCCCATCTGTCCCTCCTGTTCCTTAGACCACAGCCCCTGGCATTGCCTGTGCCTCATCCTTTCTCACATCCATATCTGACCTTGTAGGATACTTACACTTCCACCTCCAAATGACCTCTAGGTTCTCCACTTCTCACACACTCTCCTCCCACCACCAGGGTCTGCCTGATGCCTGCCCTGGTCTCTACCATAGTCTCTCATTTCTTTCCTTTCCTTCTATCTGTTCTTAACACATAGTCCAGTATGATCCATTTACAAAGTATGTCACAACACATCAGGCTTCTGTACAAAACTTTCCAATAGCTTCCTTTTTGCTTGGAGAAAAGTCCAGCCAATAAGAACAGACCTGCTCTGTCCTATCTAATGTAGTGTTCCAGAATCTTCTTCATCTAGTCCCCCTGTTGCTACATACCATCTGCCCTCCTCTCCCATTACCCTAGCCAAGAAAATGCCTTAGAATACACCATTTCTCTGTACTCTTCAGCATGGCTAAGTCCTCCACACATACAAGTCCTCACTCAAATGTCATTTTTCTCACTATTCTCTTCTTTGACAATCAATGTAAAATTGGAACCCATCCTCTGCCATCTCTAGGCTTGATATCCTGTCCTTTATTTCATAGCATCTTGCATTCTGTACCATAAGCCATATGGCATTTCTTATTAAGTTTCTTGTATAGAGTTTGCCACTTTGCTAAGAATATGAGTTCTGTGGAAACAATAATCTTTTTATGTTCTTGTCATAAATTTAAAAATAAGTGCATGACACATAATAGAAGGCCAATAATATTTACTAAATGAATATCCACCAAATATAATATCCCTAGAGTTAGCGTATTGATCAACTTGAAAAGCACACTACTGCTTCCCAATAGTAAGCCCAATTCACCCATTCCTCCTCTAACCCAGGGGTGTGCACCACATCACTCAACTCTTGTCAAATAGAAGTTTGCAGTGCACAACCAGCATTTAACAAGTATACTTATTAGGTCAGAGAGCAAGGCAAATGACAAGGATTAGCAAGTGCAGTGCATGAATTTCCAATGGCAAGCCTAGTACACTTAGCTGAGTTTCCTTAAATAACAATTCCTATGTGCAGGCCAAGTGACTAAATTGGACTCTCATAACACCCAGGACAATCCAATGACATGAACTTAGACCGGAAGTATCATTTTCCCTACTGTCATGACTACTAAAGCCTAAACCGATCTGCGCCACTTTGCATCCTGTCAACAGAATTCTTTAGGATAGTCTGAGTGACCTTCTTTCCTTCTGGGAAAGAGTATTTTCTGGGAAAAAGAGCTCCACTCACCAGGATGAAGACAGTGAAGAATATGACAACAATGGCAGCCGTAATGAACAGCTTCTTCCGAGGAAACACAGTGGCAGGAAGGAGAAACACTAGGGAGAAACAGATGGCACCCCGGAGTCCTCCATAGGCAATGATGAACTGGTCTTTGAAGGTCAAGGGAATGGTCCGGAACCAGTTAATAACCTGAGTCAGGACAAAGACACCTACAAAGACAAACGCAAAATAAAATAAGACTATGTAAGGCCAGAATATCAACATGTGAAGAGTTCTGCTCTGTGCCTCTTAAACAGGGAACAGTGTTTCACGATAGACACTAAAGCTTCTCCCCTTCTCTTATGCCTTATTAACACTGCTAGGTCTTACAATCTTGACAATTATTGTTCTGGAATAACAAAGTTTCATCTATTGGAATTATCGACCCTAAGTGAGACAGTTTGACTTACAGCAAAGGTCTGCAGAAACCAAGGAAGAAAAGAAAACTTTCAAAAGGATGAGAAAAGGAGGAGAGGGAGAAGATGGAGGAGATAAGGAAGGATAACAAATGGAAAAGGAGAGAGGAGAAGGGAAAGGAAAGAGAGTAGAAAAAGAATAGGAGGAAGATGGAAAGGAGAAGCAGAAAAGAAAGAAAACATAAAGAGGATGAAGAAGCCACTGCAGCAAAACGAAAGGATCAGAAAGAAGAAAACTTAATTGTGTTAGGATGACTCAATGATCATTAAGTAACAAATGCTCCTTACCCAGTGCTCTCCAGATGAGACAGAAAGCCAATGTGAAACAGACAAAGGCCCAGTTCCATTCATGGTTCTTCCCCACAGTGGACACACCCATGAAGATGAAGATCAAGGTCTCACTGACACTGCTCAGCATCTTCATGAAGTACTTGATGGTCGTGTAGGACTTCTGAGATACATTTTCTTCTACATATTTATTCATAGTCATGGCACAAGCTGTGATTCTGAAAGGGAAGATAGAGCTTCTACTTAAACATGACAATGGCCCTAATCTGAATAGCAGACTTAGATCCTAAAGCCTAAATTATCGCTCCTCCCTTCCAGCTATACCCCTCCTACAACATAACTGACTGCACTTTATAAATTCATGTGATCTGTAGATCAAAATATATGTGTAGGTCTTCCTTCATGTCATGGCTTGGACCACCCTGCCTCATCCAGATCTCTAGCCCCTCGTTTTTAGAGTTTGTTCTCCTAGATCCAGATCCATGGTCTCAATATCAGCTCTATTTATAGAACCCAAATAAGGCAAGTCCAAAATAAAATTGAAATCTTCTATTTTCCTAAAAAACCAATCTTGTCTTCTCTCTATACTAAGTTCTTACTTAAAAATCCCAAATTACTGCGTAAAATAGTAAACTCAAAACTAGAGTGTCATTGGGCTTTTCTTCCCTGTTACATCCCCTCAGTATGCCCCTCTCCATATAACTGGGTGTCAATCATTTCAGTTCTTCATGTCAAGTGTCTCTTGGACCTACTCATTTTTAAATATTTGGTCCCAGTTCCTTAGTTCACTGTCTCTATTATATATATTTTAATGAATTCACAATATATAAGTAGTCTCCAAAAAATCTTTGTTTGTCTTCTCTAGCATTTATTTATAAAAATTGTGGAACTCCAGAATGCTTTCTTTCCACTCTCACAATCACTGTTCTGATGAGGAACCTTTTCACACCTGGAGAAAAATGAGCACACCCTCAATAAGTTGGACATTGTAAGATCTTCACACCATTCCTTCAGTGGATAACAGCTTTACATGCTGCTCTCTCTCTACCTGGCACACCACCTGCTCTCACTCTTTAATATCTTCTTCTTCTCTGGGAAAAAAGGTTCTTCTCTGTCAGGTATGTCATGCCCAAATGCCACTCACTAAGGGAAGTTTAGGTGACAATTCACTAGTTTCCCACTGAAGAGGTATGCCTCCTATAAAGAATAAAAAGAACTTCATTATCAGCAGGTGACACTGGAGGAAAGAATTTAAGTGAGTGACTCCACCTTCTGCTGAGTGATAATCAAGCCATTAAACAAGAGCCAGCCATGGCTGATCTGTGATGTTTCCCACATTCTCCCATCTCAAGAACTGTAATGACACAACATGCACACCACTCCCCCGCAACCATCCCATACTCTCCATGTGATCCCTTCCTCTTCCCTGAGATTTCTGCTGTCTTAATGAAACCTTCCTACTGTACATAGAGTGGACAGGAAGATCCATGCAAACAATGTCCTATGTGTTAAGACCTAAAAGGTAACCAGACACAATCTTTATTGCAAGGAACATACTTCTCTCTCATATAGAAAATATGTATATTTATTTCTGTGCCACCTGTGAAAACAAAACAGACTCCACCAATGAGGGAGAAATATAGACATGCTAGCACAGTCACAGAGCAAGCAGGTGTTTCTTTTATATTTATATGAGTGATGAACACATGATTTATGTGGTTTCTGAGAGAACCAGTGGCCTTATTAAGTGTGCCAATAAAACTGAACAGCCATAAACATGTGGTAAATCCTTTGAATCACTGAGGGCTTATGCACTACTAGTCCCTGTTACAGCCCCTTTGCTATATGAGCTTAGAACTGTGTGAACACTTTGTATGGATTACATCTCTTAAACCAGTATATGATGCAAGTTCAACTATCATTCTAATCATTACAAATTGGAGAACAAAGGCAGACAGAGGTACAGTTACTCAAGTTTACACAGCTAGTAAACAGTAATGCCAGGTGTTAATCCAGAATGGTATTCAAAGCCAGCAGTGTTGTAGACCTCACCCTCCTTTGTTTGCACTTCTCAGTGAGCCCAGTGGTTGCTAGTAGAAAAGGAGACTTCCTCTCCCTGCCAGCTAGACTCATCCATTCTCAAGTACAAGCCTGTCAGTATTTGTTTCTTGTGGCTGCTAAAAGAAATAGCACAAGTGTAGTAGCTTCAAACTTCAATTAATCATCTTGGATAACCAGAAGTTAAAAGTTCCAAGTCATTTTCAATAGGCTAAAACCAAGGTATCTACAGGCTGGGTTCCTTCTGGAAGCTCTCAGGAGAACGTGTTCCTCACCTGTTCTAGTTTCTAAAGATGGTTTACATTCCTTGGCATGGAGTCCATATCACCCGACTCTGCTGGGAACACATCTCCTCCTCCCTATCTTAAGAATCATGGAATCACATGAAGTCCATCTGGATAATCCATTGCAATCTCCTCTCTTAAGAGCCTCATTAAGCCAGGCAATATGGTCCATGCCTGTAATGTTAGCTACTCAGGAAGCTGAACTCTGAGGGTCTCAGTTTAAAGCCAGACCATTAGGAAAGTCCATGAGACTCATGTCCACTTAACCACTACAACACCAGAAGTGGAGTTGTGGCTCAAGTGTTAGTGTGTCAGCCTTGAGTGAAAAAGCTAAAGGACGGTGTCTAGGCCCTTAGTTCAAGCTCCGATTCTGGAAACCTCCTCCAAAAAAATAAAAAGGCTGATTTAATCTCAGCTGAAAAGTGATTTTTTGCCTAATAAGGTAAGATATTAATAGGTTCTGTGAATTAGTATGTAGACATCTTTACTGGATCCTAGTTAAATACATTTCAGAAAAAAATTTTATCATTCAGACTGTGGACTAGCTATTCAAAACAGGACTTTTTTTAACAATACAAAATAATCAGAGTTAAACACTATATTAGATCAGTTACTAATCTGAGCTATAGGATGTTTTATTAATGAAAGATGTGGATACCAACAAAAACTAAGGAGACTTTGTTAAATGTTAATTATAGAAAATTTGTAACAAACACAATTTGTAATGTCCATATTAATTCCTAAAATTCTCTAAGTCCTCTGCAAATGTACTTTAAAAGGTTTATATTAGGAAATATTTAAGCCTATAGACAAATATGGAGAACAATGAGAACCAATGGACAAATTAGCCAGCTTTTTTCCAGTTGGTTCTTCATACTAGCCCCTTTCTAATCATACCCTCCCATACACACTCACTCACTCTGAATCTCTCTTCATGTGCTTCTCTTTCTCTTAATGTCTCTCGCTTGCTCTGTCTTCATTTTTCTCTTTCTCCCTTCTCTTTCACCTTCCAGATTTGTAAAATGAGTTTTAAAGACCTGGAGAATAATTATTTTGTAAATGTGCTAAACATTTCCCTCTGCAAAAGTTCAGATTGTTCATTGGGACCATTCAAGCAAAAAAAAAAAATCTCCTAAACATTTCATGATCAATTAAACAAATTTATCCCTTCAGAAATGACTGAAGACATATGTGCGTGGTAGGAATAATACATACATTAATTTTATGTGAATATTTAGTCACTTTCCATTGTTTTGTATGGTGAATGTGACATGGGGAAAGATGCCAATGCTAGCCAGACACTCCAGTGTCTGTGAGACGCTCAAGTGTCTGTGATGTGCGGCCCACATCACTTCATGGAGAGGAACACCCTGGTAGCCAGGGATACCACAGACCCAGCACACAAGACTCACCCCACTCAGGAAAAGCAGTTGCTGTGCATTTACAGCACCATACACGGTAGAGACAGGGGACAACTAATCCAATGTTTGCATTCTGGTCTATCATGTAAATTTGGTTCACGTGGTCACTCACGCAAAGGCTGGAGATATTCCCACTGCAAAAATTTTTGTTGTATACTATAAGCAAAGGTCAAACCACTTCATCTCCAACACTGTCATAAGAATAGGAAATGATTTAATCTCTTTCTACAGGGAGGTATAGGCAAACCAGTGCCCCAACAACAGAGAACAATATACATTTCTCAGTCTCCTTTGGAACCTTATTTCTAGAGCTTAGAGTATTCACCATCACAGTAAATTTTTCCAGAAGAATCACAGGGTGCTTCTAGAGCTCAGACATTTCTATAATGTTGTAGGCTGACTCTCCTCAGCTTTCCAGGAGTAGTGTCATGTCACAGAGGCACCACAAGCTAAGACAAATGAAATGTCATCCTACATCCCATGAGCATGGAATTTGAAGCCTTCGGTTTCTAATCCTTACTATAAAACAACAACACAATAATGTCTACACCAGTATAACTGCCTATACAGCCTTTTTATATTTTAGAAAATTCCAGTTAAATTTCTCTATTCTAAAGTGCCTTTCAAAATAAAACTACTGGCCTCTAATATTCCTAGTATAGTCTTACATTTGTTAGCTGGTATCACCGATCCATTTTTCTCCTTTCCATGCAAGTTTTTCTTTCATAAAGTCCATGTGAGTTTATAAGATTATGAATGGAATATTAATAGCAACCAAGCGTTTCTGAGCATCTACTCTGGCCAAATTCTGTGTCAAGATCTAAGAAAATGAAAACAGGTGAGACACAATTCCAGCCTTGAAGAGTCTGCAATCTAAGGGAAGAAATGGTCAGGAAGAACTGTTGTCACCCAACACTACAGGTGGTAGTGATGAGGAATGGAAGTTCAGAGAAAGGAACTGCTACTTCTGCCACAAAAGTGGTGATATCTGTACAAAATCATCCTCAATAAGAAGGGTCTACTAGGCAAGCAAAAGAAGAGGGAAGTGCCCCTCAGGACCCATAGGGATCTGGTTCTGGTCCTTCAGTTGATACCAAGACCTATGGATGCATAGTCTTCATATATGAGTCAGCCCATCCTCCTTCTGACTTTAAACCATACTATCCAATACAATGCAACTAGCTGCATCTTGAGTTTCATAGGGAATTAGGACAAGAATATTTTATACAAAAATATTTATACAAGAATATTTTATACAAAAATATTTGTCCAGATATGTTTGATTTGTAGTTCCTTGAATCTATAGGATAAATTATATCTCAGATTATATAATTACCTATTACCTTGCCCTTTCTACATGTCCTCCAAATCCAAGCAGAAACGTCAATAAGAAAAACAAAAGTATCTTCCCTACGTAGCATAGTGTCTACATATCATTTTGATTCTGCAAGGGAG